TCTCAGCCCCTGTTCCACCTTTCCCCTGCTCCTTTCCCCCCTCAACTCCTGCCCCTTCCTCAGCCCCATGCCCCCCACCACAGCCCCATAACATCCCCAAGACAGCTCCTCTCCCCCAATTGCAACCCATATCACCCACACCACAGCCCCTTTCCCAAATTGTAGCCATCAACCTACTTCAGCCCCTATCCCCCCTACATTTCCTAAACCCCCAATTACCGCTTATACACTCCACTACAGCCCTTGTCCCCCCACTACAGCCCTATCCCCTTACTCAGCCCCTGTCTACTGGTTTTAAAAGTGTAAAGTTTGGGTGTATGTGTGTGTGTATGAGTATGTCTGTGTGTATGAGTATGTCTGTGTGTGTCAGCATGTCTGTGTGTGTGTGCGCGCCAGTATGTCTCTGTGTGTGTGCCAGTATGTCTCTGTATGTGTGCCAGTTTGTCTCTGTGTGTGTGCCAGTTTGTCTCTGTGTGTGTCAGCCAGTATGTGTGTGTGTGTTAGTATGTCTGTCTGTCTGTCTGAGTCAGTATGCCTGTAACAGTGCGTCTTTCTGTGTGTGTGCCAGTATGTCTCTGTGTGTGCAAGTATGTCTCTGTGTGCCAGTTTGTCTGTGTGTGTGTGTGTGTGTCAACCAGTATGCCTGTGTGTGTGTGTGTGTGTGTGTGTGTGTGTGTGTGTGTCAGCCAGTATGCCTGTCTGTCTGAGTCAGTGTGCCTGTAACAGTGTGTCTTTCTGTGTGTGTCTGTGTGCCTGTCAGTGAGTGTGTGCCTGTCATTGAGTGTCTGTTTAGGTGACTGCCCCCCACTGTCTTCTTGGTGCAATGGGCCACTTGACCGGATTTGCCCCCCAGGCCTAAGGCTGCCAGCCCTCCCCTGTGTGAGGAATCCCTTCCCAATGGGATGATATCTATACTGTAGGGCATATTGATTCACAGTAGATACCCTTTATCATCTCCTTTTATGGCAAAGTGGGAGGAGTACCTGGAGCTGCCATTCACAGAGTCAGAATGGGAAAAAAAACATACAGGTCCTTAAAATCTCCAAAGACTACTATGTAATAGTAGTAGGGGATAAAGAATACAAATCTAATCTATTTGTGGACTATATGCTCCTAACGCTATATCTCAGGAGCAAATTTGCCTTCCTTTTAAAAGAGATCCAGGAATATGGAATGCACTCCCATTATTAATTGAATGTGTAAAAACCAAAGGCCATGGGAGGGGGAATTGAGAATGTGTTATTGCAGACTTTACAGACTACCTTTGCACTAGATTGGAGAAAAGATTATGTTAACTTCTTGGGGATCAAAGTTACCTAAAACCTAGACAATCTCTTCAAATACAATTATGACAAACTGATGCAAAACTTACTAGACACAATGCAGTCCTGGGAGGGAAAGTCGTTAAGATGACCCTACTTCCCAAGTTCCAATATGTGTTAAAAACCCTCCAAATCCACCTTCCAAAAACGTTTTTGGATAAATTGCAAGAACTTCAGTGCAATTTGGCTTTCCAAAACTTCACATCCCACACTTGTTCCTGGAAATATGGGACACCACAAAGGCAGAGCTATGTACCATAGACAATTTGTCAATGGCCAATCCGATATACAGAATCCTCGTAGTGAACCCCACTTGTATATGGGGGGTGCATGCATCTACAACATCTCTATAAAAAAAAGGAACGCTATTACCGTTCCCACAACTCCAAAACAAGTCTCTCCTGACCACTACTAATAAGAGAGAATGCACCCTGCCACACTGCAAAAATTGTTCAGGAATGGTTTAAGGAACATGGCAAAGAGTTCAAGGTGTTGCCTTCGCCTTCAAATACCCCAGATGTCAGTCAGATTGAGCATCTGTGGAATATGCTGGAACAACAAATCTGATCCATGGAGGCCTCACCATACACCTGCAGTATTTAAAGAATCTACTGCCAATATTTTGGTGACAAATACCACAGGATATGTAGAGAGGTCTTGTGGAGTCCATGCCTTGGCGCGTCAAAGTCTTGGGTTTGACAGGAGGAGTCCGGGTAGCAGAAATAAGTCAAAGCAAGGTACCATTAGCAATAAGTGTAAGCGTGGTAAGGAAAACCAGAAGTCAAGGCAGTTGGCACAGGTTCACAGATGGAAAATGGGCAAAAATTGGTCTAATATCAGGAAGTCAACAGAATGCACACTGGGAGCACAGTATAACTGAGCACAGGGGACATAGTTAGATGTGATTATATAGGAGAGAGGGCTACACCTCTGCCACTTGATTAGTAATCATGTCTCCACATCCTAATGTAATACTGCCTCCTGCCCCTGTAAGAGGCTGTCCATTGGGCATGCTCATACCTAATTAATACTTAATATGTGGGTCGATGCTGTCTGACACCTTAAATAAACCATGGGCTGCAGCAAGAAGGAGAGAACCACAGCAAAACTTACACTTAGGCAGAAGTCACCAGCCCCTTTTACCTTCGGCGATTGGCAGTGGTGTATCCTGGTTTTGTGCTGCCCTAGGCAGGACAAAACTCAGGCGCCCCCCAACCGCCCTCCCCCCCAAGCACGCGACCCCCACCCATCCCTTCCTCCCGCCCCGCCTTCTAAATACACACACACACACACACACACTCACTGACAGATACGCATACACTAGCTAACAGAAACACAAACTCACTGACACACACTCACTAGCAGACACACACACACTCACTGACACACACACTCACAGGCAAACATACACACACAGTCAGACACACACACACAAACACACTCACTCACTAGCAGACACACACTAGCAGACACACACACTCACACTAACAGGCAAACACACTCACTCACTAACAGACACACTCACACTCTAACAGACACACACACTAACAGACACACTCACTAACAGATACACACACACTAACAGACACACTCACTAACAGACACACACACTCACTCACATTAACACGTGTATTTTTTTAACCCTCCTTACCTTTGGGAATGCTGGGGGGAAGGGGTTCTCTATCTTCCTGGGGGTCCAGTGGCTGCCAGGCTGGCGGGCGGCTGGCGAGGGAGCTCTTCCCCTGAGCGGTCTGCTCAGCGCCCTCGCACGCCTCAGAGTGAGGCTGGGAGCCGGAATATGACGTCATATTCCGGCTCCCAGCCTCACTGTACAGCGCACGGGAGCTGAGCAGACCGCTCAGGGGAAGAGCTCCCTCGCCAGCCGCCCGCCCAGCCCAGCCCAGCATGTCAGTTAGCCGCAAGGCTAACAAGGCATTTGCCCTGGGCATTTGGGGGGCGGCTTTTTTTGCCACCCCCTAAAAATGCCGCCCAAGGCAAATGCCTTGTTTGCCTCGCGGCTAAAACGCCACTGGCGATTGGGCCAGCCACACTACAGGACCTGACGTGCACCGTTGAAGTGCCGCGTCAGAAGGAATCACAGGTGAGTGAGTCAAGGGCTCTGAAACAGAGTTTTGGAAGCACAAGGGGTACCTACACGATATTAGGTGGTTTTAGTGTTGTGGCTGATGAGTGTATATCTCCACCTATAAGATATACACAGGATGACAAGTAAATTCACAGATGTTTGTGCATTCCTAAGAGAGGCAGACAAAGTTTCCTGTGACTACATTGCCACCAATGACAACCAGTGTGTGAAGGGCCGCCATCATGTTGTGACAACCATGAGGGTTGTTGCAGGCCCGGCGGTACTAGGGGGCCCAGCCGTCCGGGCTCCACTTTCCTATCTGTAGCAACAGAACTGCCGTCAGTGCAGCTAAACTGGGGCCCGCACATTGATGAAGCCTATTGGATGGCCCATGCACTTAGGGTTACTAGATGGGTACTTTCTTCATGGGCCCTTTAATAGCAAATATGAGCCTCTTTTAATGATGTCAGCCACAGCCGGTTCCTTTCTCGCAGCATAGTCCGCACGGGAGGGAGGAGGCAAAGCATAGGCAGTAAAGAGGGGGAAGCCAGCTGCCAGACTGATAGATACAGACACATACACACACCTTGACACACTGGCACATACAAACACAAATACAGACCGGCACATACACACAGATATACACAACTTGACATATAGATACCCACTGGCACACACACAGATACACACTGACACATAGATATACACACCTTGACACACAAATGCAGACACTGACAGATACACTAACACATACACACACAGGCACACAGATACACACATTGACACACAGATAAAGACACTGACATACAGATACACACACTGACATACAGATACACACACTAGCATACACACACATTGGCACACAGATAGACACACACTGGCACAATGATGCAAACATTGGCACTACACACACACACATGCACTGACATATACACTGAAACACACACACATACAGATACAATGACACAAAGATACACACATTGACAAACAGATACACAGTGACACATACACACACCTTGACACACAGATACACACCGGCACATACACACAGATATACACAACTTGACATGTAGATACCCACTCGCACACACACAGATACACACTGACAAATAGATACACAAACTGGCAGATACACTGACACATACATACACAGGCACACGGATACACACATTGGCACAGAGATACACACACTGACATACAGATACACACTGGCATACTCACACACACATACACACACTGACAAATCCACACGCATTGGCACACAGATACACACACACTGGCACAATGATGCAAACATTGGCACTACACACACACATGCACTGACATATACACTGAAACACACACACACAGATACAATGGCACATACTGAAAGATACAATGACACACAGATACACACTGACATATACACTGACACAAAGATACACACAGTGACATACACACAGATACAAACACAGTGACACATACACACACCTTGACACACAGTTACACACACTGACACATACACACACACTCAGATACACTGACACACATATACACATACTGACAGATACACAGACCTTGGCACACATATACACACTTGCAACTACACACACTGGCACAATGATATGCACATTGGCACATACACACACACACACACTGACAGGTACACTGACACACAGATACACACACTGACATACATTTGTCAAATTCCTGCCTATGGATTCACTCATGGAATACTCTACCAACGAAATCCCAACGTTTCTCCTGCTGTATTAATCTACATAAGGATGTGAAATTCTAGTGCATTTGCCCCTTGCCAGCTCTCCTACGGTGAATGGATATTTTCCTTGGAGAGCAACCTATGAATATCATTTTTTAGAGTTATTTCCCTATTTATACACAGTGTGAGTCGCACTATAAGTCAGTTTGTGTGCTAGACATTTCAGCCAGTGCAGCAGATACAGTTGCAGGCAGATAATCTCCTAAAATTACTGAAAGGCATTTTTCCTACTCACTTAGCTGACAGTCTGTGTTTTTCTACGTCAGCAGCACTCAGCCTCTTTGATCAGAAATGAAAGCTCCACTATTGGAACGTTTCAATGTGATACAATCATTCCACAGCAACGAACGAGTTAAGCCCCGGGGTTCTCTGGAGTCAGGAAGTCTAGCCACACCCACTCGCAGTGTTTACTTGTACATGGTGGCAAAAGTTCAGGCTATAGCCGCTCTCATTGGTCGAGAACACATCCCGGCCACACCCCCTAACGTGATTGGGTTTCAAGTTAAAGGGACGCGAATCTGTCAATCAAAGTGCGGCATCTCTATGTTAGTAGAGAAATGTAACTAGCATAGTAATACAGAATACTGAGGTTATACTGGTGTCAATATAATGGGGCTCTGCTCTGTGTGTTAACATTTGTAAACCTAGACCCTATTTCACCATAAACTGTGTGAGTGTTATGCTATCCATAGAATGGAAAGTCCAACCAGTTTCAACAATTATATTTTTTGTATATTTGTTTTAATTATTGCAGAGATTTCTGGGAAATGTAGTTCGACAACAATGGTATCAGGGAAACCTAAAGGTTATGAGATATAGATTTTATAGTGTTACCAGATCAGCAGGTGAACTTGTGATATGGAATCTTTTTCATAAGCATCTTGGAATAAAATTATGATCTGGCAATTAGTGATGTCCCGAACGGTTCACCGAACGTTCCCACCGAGACCCTCCCACCTCCTGGACAGCATCCATTTTACATTCATTGTGAAGGGGCATTCTTAGTGAGCTGTCCAGGAGGTGGGAGGATCTGGGAGGAGGGTCTGCTGCTGATTGGCTGGAATGTGTCTGCTGACTGTGAGGTACAGGGTCAAAGTTTACTCAATGATGACGAATAGGGGGCAGACCAAACAGCGCATATGTTCGCCGTCCGTGGCGAACCGTTCGGGACAATACTATCTGGCAACTATTTCCCAAGTGTATTACAGTCCAGTAATGACAAATGGAGCTAAGTTTTTTTTTTTTTTGTTTTTTTTTAAATCTGCCATCAGTCATTTGTGCATCTGTGACTTACTATGATAAAATGTTTAGCATTTTAAGGCATAAAAGTAAATATGTAAAGAAAACAGTTCTCTCCTGCACCCATGAATAACTTGGGAGAACAGATGATATTCTCCACTTCACTAAACAGGATGGGAAGCTGTGTGTGGTTTCATATGTTGAGTGAGTGGTGGTGAAATATGCCCAAGTGGTTTTCATACATGTCTTGTCGATTCCGAATTCTAGATTGATTCATTTTGAGGAAGAGGGTAGTTATGCCACAGAGAAAACATCTTTCAATGCCTTAACAATAAACTGTTCAGTGGAGGCTGGTCCATAAACTGTCAGATGTTTGACATGCTAATCGAAAGGCATATGTATTTGTCTTCTAGGGATGTCATTGGGTAACTCTTA